AAGAGCTCCTTAGGAGTCAGAGTCTAGCCAGTCAAATGACCAAAGTGGAATTTCTTCTGAAGAGGCGACACGAAAAAGGGTGTGGAGATGCCAAAGGACAGAAGACGGATGTGGACTGCGCTTGGCCAGGCGCGTGGAGAGCTGGGTTCGAGGCCTGGCCCTGGCAGTTTGACAAGCACTTTAGACACAAGTGCATGCGTTCCCCAAATCTTGACATGGAGGAGTGGAGGAAAAAGGATTATAGTTTGACCATGCGTCATTGAGGATCTCTCTCTGGCAAGCGCATTTTCCCCTGTCAAAAGAACCAAAACAAAAAGTAAAGCTTTTCTAATTGAAAACCGCTACTGGTTTCATGACTAACCTATGAATCACATGACCAACTTAAACATTATAGATTGCTCAATAAAGGTCTCAAATGATGTTTTTCTCCAAAAAAAATTTTTTTGAAGAGGTTTTTACTATAGGGTGTGTGCGCTCACCAGACAGACAGAGACAGAGAGACAGAAAGCGAGAAATCACCCCCCCCCCAGGAGGGGGGGTCACGCCGCAGTCCCTTCTCCTCCATTCTCCTCTCGGGATCTTGGGAACACACGCACACGCGCCCGGCGTGAGTTTTAAGCCACCGGGTTCAGGATGCAAACCATGGTGGACTACATGGGAGTCCAGCGACATAGCCATAACTACTGGTCCCTCTCCAAATAATTTTTAAACATTATTGATATAGCACTTTTTTTTTTATAGTTTAGAAATTTGTCAGAAAAGTAATAGCAAAGATATTCAGCTTTATGCTGTAACTTTACTCCCTAAATAATTAAGATGAGTAAATTAGTGCCTTTTTTTACTAAGTTGATCTTTTACTCTATCTGCCAATTTTTTAAAAAATTATTTTATTCTGTTTAGTATTATTTTTAAATTTGCACATGTATTCTCCAGAGAGGGAGAGACAGAGAGGGAAAGTGAGAAAGTAAACTGCCGGGTCTGGAACTTGAACCACTGTCAATCATGTGGGAGTTCAGTGCCTTAATCACCACTCCAGCTGCTGACCCCATCTATCTGCCAATTTTTGACCCCTTTATCATTATTCTTATATTAGTATTGTGATCTTCTGGTTTTTTTCCCGTAAGTACTGTCCCGTCTACTGTCATACAGATGAGTAGATGAGTCTAATCTCTGTACTTTTGCCCTCAGTGCCATGATGCATTTTTTTCATGCTGCTTTACAGTAATTTAAATGGTATTTTGAGGAAAGAAGAGAAATGTGAATGTAGAATCTCATGCTGAATTTTTATTGATGTTCATTACTACTTATTCAACACTTTCTTTTGTTTTTCTAGCTTGCTTTTATTCATTTATTAGGTTTTTTGCCACAAGGGTGTGTGTACTCTCTATAAGGAACAGAGGGAGACACAGAGACAGGGAAAGTGAGTAATCACCCCCCAAGGGGGATGACCACACCAGTGTGCTTTTCAAGCCACCCTGTCCAGGAATTGAACTATAGAGTTGGCCATGTGGGATCCAATACTTAACCACCACGCCACCTGCTGGCCCCAGCTGTTTATTTTTCTGTGTTTTGTTTTAAGGAAAATAAAAACACTTAACATTCTCACATAGTACTTGGATGCCAGAAGTCCCAGGTCTGTCCAAGTCTGGGTTTCATATTTCCATTTGCTTTGCCGATTTCAGTCCTCATAACAGCTTTGTAACTTTTTAGAAAGAAGGGATTAACTTTTTTTTTTTTTTGCACTGGCTTGATATGCTCAATCTACTTAACGTTTCCACCCCCCCCTTTTTTTTTTTTTAAGAAATAGAGTAATTTATTATTATTATTTAATTTGACCAGAGAGAGACAGCAAGAGGGAAAGTGAGAAAGCAAGCTAGACTAGGTCCAGGACTTGAACCATGGTTGGCCATGTAGGAGTCCAGTGCCCCAACCACCATGCCACCTGCCTTTCCCTCTGTTTCCCTTTTTAGTAGGAAGTACTTAACTCTTTGTGCCGGTATTATTCTTCTTTAGAAAAGAAATTTTTAAAGTTTACTTACTTATTTCTTCTGTAAGTGAGAAAGACAGATGGTATCCCCGGTAGGTCTTGATGCTGTCATCCACTCAGTCTCAGTCAGCCCCAGACCCTGTGTACATGTGTACCAGATGTACTGAAGGAATCTTCAAGGATGTGAACCCAGAACCCTTTTACCTGGGACTGCCTCGCAGAATGTTGAGTTTTACTGTCGTGCCACCATGTGGCCCCCGTGCCTGTATTTTTCTACTTTATAAGCTATTTTTGCAGCAACTTGTTCATCTTGTCTTGGAAAACAAGGAATAATAGAAAAATAAGAGATGAAAAGGGAGTGAAGGGTTACTTCTGAGTCTAGGTAGGTGCCCGAGATTGTTGACTTTTCTGTCAAACAAAGTCAACCTGATGAATGATCCTGCTGACCTGAGATTCTCTCACCAAGTCTTCCTCCAGCTCCCATCTTTGTAAACATTTTAACATTCATTTGAACAGAAGATTTTTAGGAAGCTAGACAGAAGTGGTAGAGCTAAGAGAGAATTTTAACTATGTTCTCTGCCTTGGGGAGCTTATGGGCCGGTTAGGGACACTGCGCGAAATAATTAATGATCAACTCACGACAGTGAAATGTTGTATATTAACTCTAAATGTAGTAAGGGTTCTGCCCAAGTCAGGAAAAGTAAAGGCCTGACAGGGTAGAGTTTAGAAGTAAAGAAGCCTGACAATTCAAGGAGTGGAGAAGCCGTGCGAGCCCAGGTTCTGAGAGAGGAGCACGTGAAATGGCTGAAGACTACTACACCTGGTATATGGGGGCCAAGCCCGGAATTCTTGAGACAGGTAGCCGGTCACCATGGCTTTTTCATGGATTTGCACACATATCAGGATAGGTGTAACCAGGAAGGGGTAAAAGGATCAGAGAAGTTATGTTGAGTCCTGAACAGAGAAGCAAAGTTACAGGATATAGCATTATCTGACCCATTATACCATTCTGGTTTTTTTTTTTTTTTTAATTTTTCCATTTCTGGAACTAGATGCAGTTCAATAAATTGGAGAAGGCTGAGAGAGAAGGGAGAAACTGTCAGCTAGAGTCACTAGTTGTTAAAATGTAATCTTGGAAACTCTAATTGCCATCATTTCCCATTTAGGTGATTGCTCACAGTCAGTATCAAAAGTCCAAGAGAATTTCCATCTTTCTGAGCATGCAAGATGAAATTGAGACAGAAGAGATCATCAAGGACATTTTCCAGCGGGGCAAAACCTGCTTTATCCCTCGATACCAGTTCCAGAGCAATCACATGGATATGGTGAAGTTGGCTTCACCTGAAGAAATTTCTTCACTTCCCAAAACATCCTGGAATATTCATCAGCCTGGTGAGGGTGATGTTCGGGAGGAGGCCTTGTCCACAGGTGGGTGTTAGGATATTGGTATTGACATGATGTCTTAGGATGTTGTTTAACTGTGATCAGTTTATAAAATTGTTTTATTGCCAGAGGGCACTCTTGCTCACCTGAGACCAAGAGACAGAGAGAGGGAGAAACACCCCCAGTGGAGTGCGGTCACACTGCAATCCCTCGTTCGTCTTTCCATCCTGTTGGATTATGGTCATGCACATGTGCCGGTATGTTTTACAGGCAGCCCAGTCTGAGATTTGAACCGTGGTTGGCTCTATGAGATCCAGACTCCCTTAACCACTAGGCCACAGGGCCAACTCTGACTGTGACCTCTGATCCACCTGTTATGTTTAGGTCAACGGAGTTACTTTTTCTATAGGAATAAACTTCTATTTCACTAATATTCTAAGATATCACATTACTTAGCTTAAGCCATGAAGAGTAAACTGTGCTAGAAAGATATCAAGATATTGTCAACTTCTCATGGACTTTTGCCCTAATCTTGTGGGTTGAATTATACATTTTCTCTGAATAATGTAATCACTTCTTTGGTTTCAATTATGGTCTGTGTGCTAGTGAGCATATTATTAGTAATGCCAACAAGCATTGGTATCTCTAGTTCAGAACCTGTCCTCTCCCTTCCGGACATTTCAAACACATGTTCCAAACAAAATCGTGTTCCCCTCAACCCTGATACCGTAGTTCATCTCAGTGCACGGCACCACCAGCCACCCAGTGGACTGCACCGGAGATCTCCAGGTCATCCTTGACCCCTCCCTTTCTCTTGGGCTCTACCTGTGATGCCAAGTCTGAGTGATTTTACCTACTGAGTATTTATGGAATACGCCTACCTCTCTCAACATCACTGCTATTGCTGCAGTCTAAGCCCCCATCTTTTCTGGCTGGTTACTGTAATAGCCTCCTGACTGTTCTTCCTGTCTGTGCCTTAGATCTTCTCCTCCCTCTCAATCCATTATCTAACAATAATGGGTTGTCAGAAAAGTCATCACACATTTTTGCATAGAATAACACAGAAAAAATATGTCCCAACTTTTCCAACGGTCTAATAATCAAAGCAAGATTTCTAAAGCACGCATCTGACCACTTCTCTCCCCTGTTTAATGTTTCCAGTGACTTCTTGATGCCCTTAGGTTCAAGTAAATACTCTTTAACAAGGCTCTTTCTGATCTCAGTCCTGTTTATTTTTCCATTTTTCACATCCTTTTACTCCCTTATTTCCTAGTCTAAGTTCCGGCCTCTCAGTATCTCTGTCCCAATCCTTGTTTTCTCTACTGCTGGATCTTTATCCATGCTATTTTCTGGTCAACGGCTGCTTGGGAGATTTTATCTTTACCAAGCAGTCAAACAAATGAAAGAAAAGTAAACAAAATAAGGGTACCATTTTGTAATATAATGCCTCACTTCTGTCTTTGAGGTGTATCTTTGACTAGACTTAAGTGGTTTTAAAGAAACCCCAGCACAATTTTATGTAGTTTTCTCCCAATTTCTACCCCTTCCAATACGACACCATAACCTGCAAAGTCAATATGATGGAGTGGGAGGGGACAGGGCAAGGCAAGTAAGAGAGGATTGTCTACTTTTCTACTGTAACTTCCCCTCTATTATCCAATCCTAGGCTTTGTTAGGTCTTTGCACCAAAAGCATACTCAGATCTACCTCCTTCATGTTCTTCATCAGTAGACCAGTAAGTTGGCAGTATTATCCAACATTTGCCTATCTTCAAAAAGAAAGATGCAAGCATTTTAAGACAATGAGACAATAAAGGAGTACAGCGTGTGTAGGGGTAGCCCAGGTTTACAGATAACAAAAGCTAGGAAGCTGTAGGCTCTGACTTTGCTTAGACTTACTGCAGCTACTTCTCCAGCCTCGCAAACATAACAGAGGAATCCAGGATCCTTTCCCACTCCTGGTTGACTATGCTAACAGGTCCTCCAATGTGCATGTCCTCTTCACAGCATGCTCGCTAATTGAAACTGCCCTGGTCTCCTGCAAGAACCAGTTCCTCTAGGGTCTGCCCTTTGCTTTAAGAACAGCTCTGGGGGCCAGCAGGTGGCGTGATGGTTAAGGTACTCTAATCCCACATGGCCTGCCACAGTCTGAGTCCTGGACCTGGCGGCTTGCGTTCTCACTTTCCTTCTCTCTCTCTCTGGTTAAATTAAACAAAATTAACAATGATGAATAAAATTAAATATATATATATTTTTTTAAAGAACAGCTTTGCCTCTTTCAGGACCTCTTCCTTAGATTGAGCTAAGATGTCTCACTTTAAACCTTCATGTGTTTATTCTTGTTCTGTTCGAGTATGGCAGTGGGAAGAGTAAGGAAGAAGCACAGACTTGGTTGCACTTCCTGATTAGGATACACTCAGTCCAGTAACGTAATGAGCTAAATCATTTATGAGTGGGTCTTAGTACGTTGCTTGGCACATAGGAGGTATTTGATAAATGGTAGTTGTTATTAATTGTAAGCCAAGGAGGCAGAATTATTCATTATATGGTGAAATCACTGTTAGCAAGCGTTTAATGTTTTCTTAATTTCTAGCTGATACTGAGAATCTACTCTGTCAGAAACTATTTTAGGTTTAGAATGATTGTCCTGACTTCCAGGGGCTTACACTCTGACTAGGGAGGCAGAAAATATACGTAAATAGAAGAAATAACCTAACCAGTAATACATATCAAATGGAGGTATTAGGTAACAAGATATTAAATATTAAGCCTTCAGGTGGTTAAGATGCTGGGTATCATTTGGCTGACTCTATAGTTTGAGTCCCAGACCTGGAGGCCTGAAAATCACATTGGGCAAGTGTGCCTATGTGCCCCAAGTCCCAAGGGGAGAATGGACGAGAAGGGATTCAGACATGGCCATTCCTCCTGGGAAGCAATTTCCCACTTTTCCTTGCTTTCTGTCTCTCTGGCAAGTGCATACACCCTATGACAAAAATCTTTAAAAAAAAAAAAAAAAAGAAAGAAAAGAAATAAATTAAATATTGAAAAGTAGAAGCTTGGGGATTGGTCATGAATAGGGAAGTCCACCCAAAAATCTGGTTGTCAAGCCTAACTGCAGTGATGTGCACTGCTGAGACGTTGTGCTTCACAGGCTGACATCCCATGGGAAACCCTGATTGGATTCCTAGTCCAAACTAAAAGGCCGGACACTGCGATGTGCACCCGTAAGCTCAGCAGTCAAAGAGGCTGAGGCAGGAGGATCGCAGGCTGAAGGCTGTCCTGAGTGACATAGGGAGACCCTGTCTAAAAATGAGGTATGCATAGTGGCTCGTGCCTCTGTCCCACTGGGAAGCTGAGGCAGGAGGATCATAACAAAGCAAGTCCCCATCTTAACATTTAAAAAGCAGAAACTGGCTGTTTATTTATTTTCCTCCATGGTATTTATCCATGCTGTATTTGTGGTAGTGGTGGCTTTTTATCATCCTGTGTCTTTCTTTGTAGATACTTGCAATATGGGTTGCAAGGGGCTAGAAGATTCTATCTGTAGTTTTCTTGCAACTGCAGTCAGGGCCAAAGCTCTCTGCTGTTGTTTTAAAAATGTCTGAATAGGCAGTCTCTGCTGTTTGTTATCTCCTAGCTTCATACTCTACATCATGGATTTTTACTTGCATCAGCAACTTCAAATGTGGCGACTTGCAACTTCAGTGCTAGCTTCATAGCATTTGGGACAAGCTGATCAGTGTTCAGACCGTTCTCAGTGTTGCCTTTGTAGTCTGCTTATCTTTCTGCTTTGCTCATGTTACCACAGCTTAGAAAAGGAAACTTTGGTGTCCTCAGTTGCAATTAGAAGTTTCTAAATAAAAATTTCATGTAGGATATTCTTGTATTATGTATGCAGCAGAAATAAACAGATTGGCAAATGAAATAGAAAGCTTTTTACCGAATTCATCCTCCAGGTGAGGGCTGCTTGGACAATTAGATTTTATTAGCCTGGAATTGTTCCATTGCAGATATATAATCCGATTCAACCTGGCTTAAGCAAAAATGGGGTCTTATTGGCCCAGAGACTGAAAAGTCCCCAGGAGGCCTAACTGTAGGTCCAACTGCATCAGGGACCACGCACAAGTGATTAACAGCAACTGCTCATGCTCTTACTGGAAGCGGTGTCTCTTTTGTTCAACAAAAATCCCCCTCGCTAATTTTATTTGAACTTTTGAAATAAACCATCATGACTAAATATAACTCAAAGCAACTGTAATGTTATGGATGCAAGAGTTTGGGGTGACCCTCCTTTTCTGGACAGTTGAGAATATTGCCTCTGGAGTTTTGGCACTTTGGGAGCTAGCATGAATTCTGTCATGGCTGCTCTCTTTTCAAAAAAAAATTATTTAATTTTTAATTATTTTTAAGTTTGTTATAGGACACATACACTCACCAGACAGAGAGCGAGAAGGAAAGTGAGAAAGTAAGCCACCACAGTGGGCCATGTGGGAGTCCAGCGCCCCAACCACCCTTGCCACTTGCTGGCCCTGTGGCTTCACGTTTCTTACTTTTTAGTCTTTGTTTCTTGTCTTTAAAAATTCACTCGATGATTTCTTCCATCAGTGGGAAAGAAAGAGAGGAAGATAGAGAAAGGTAACACCCCCAAGTTAGCATCCCCAATAGGATCTTTTTTTAAAAAAATAATTATTTATTTATTATTATTGTTAATATTCCTTTTCACATGAGTTTTGCCAGAGAAAGACAGAGAGAGAGAGAGAGAGAGCGAGAGGGAGAGTGTGAAAGCAAGCCGCCAGGTCCGGGACTCAAACCATGGCCAGCCATGTGGGAATTCCAGCACTTTAACCACCATGCCACCTGCTGGCCCCCCAACAGGATCTTGATGCCAGAGTCCACCCCCAACCCCAGCTAGCCCTGAGCACATGCGTGCCCAGCATATTCAGGAAGACCTCCAGGCTTGAACTTGGAACCCACCTTTGTGGGTCTGCCTCACAGCATTGTTTTATCACTACACACTCCCTGGGTGTCTCTTTGTCTTCAAATAGG